TGGGATAGATCCTGGAATAATTTAATTTCTGTTTCATGATACCGCAAGTGGTGTTTATCCCGAGCTCTTCGTAGTATTTCTTCTTTAAGTCTGAAGTCTACCAAACAGCAAATTACATCTCTCGGTGGTTCAGTGTCTCTGCCTCTAGGACGCAAGGCCCTATGTAGACGTTCAATTTCAATTGGTGATTCAGGCGGTCTTTCCAAAATATCATTAAAGATGGTTAAAAGCGCCTGGGAAAGTTGTGCAGATTCGATTGCCTCAGGGACACCACGTACCCTTAAATTATGTCGTCTTCCCCTGTTATCCAGGTCTTCGACGTGACGATCGAGCTCCCTCAAATGCATAGTGTGCGTGTCAACCTGTGTGCGCATATCATGAATGGCTAGGTCTTGTGTGATTACTTTATCCTCTACTGCGTCAAGTCTGTTAGCCACTGCCTGCATATCGATATGTAACTCAGCGATTGCCGCAGAGAGAGTCCCTTTAATATCTGATGCAACCGCTTTCAGGTCCCCTATGGTGAGAGGAGTGGTTTCAGAATCTCTGATTGCGGTAGCTGCGGTTTTAGTCATGCATTGTAGAGGAGTCTCCGTACGAGGCGAATGTGGGGGAGATACATGGGAAGAGGCTTCCGCGTGCTCCGGCGTCTGAGATCGGAATAACTCCGGGATGCCGCGATTGACAGGGCCGTTCAGACGGCGAGGGGATCTGGAACGAGGAGTAGATTTCTTGTCAGATTTCCCCATGTTAGCGGTTACTCTCTGTGATATGATTGCGTAATCCCACCTCCGTGTGTCAAGGATCTAGGTATTTATGTAGACATTTTCAGTGGGATCGGGCTGGGACCCCCAAAACTTGCGAAAGAAGGGGGGATAATTATTCCTGGATAGACTAGATATCGCAGTGTATACCTCAACATGCGTGAGAGGAAAGGCAGAGTTTGGTACTGTTGGGTCTGTGGCTTCTGCAGAATATTGGGCTTCTGAGGGAAAGTAGGGGTTGCCCCTGTTTTCCCCTAGTGAACCTTTACAGGGGAGTCAGCTGCCTCAGGCCTAGCTGCCACACAGTTCACTACTGCAGGGGATTGTATAGGCCCTTATTGTAGGCCGATGCTCTCTGGGTTCATGAGGGGGGTGCCCCGATGGGTAAGGGAGAGGTGCCCACTTATAATTGTGGAACTGAGTTGAGGACCTGCAATCCTCTGTCACACCGAGTGACTCACTCACCCGTCCTTTGCACTGGGTGTGGTTTTGGTCTCGCCTGGCTGCGACAAGCCCCACTGCTCCGTTGCCACAGACGAGGAGCAACCGACACTCGCAACGGGGATGGAGGAATCCAGCCGCCACCGATCCGGGCAAGGGGAGAAGATGACCAGCAATCCCCTCCTCCGACACCGCACGCCACGTGCACCTGGCACCCGGCGGGGCGGGCGCGAGCTGGATATTATCGCGGCTTCACTCAGCCGCGGTAGGCCACGCCAGATTGCCGCAGCGGACCCGGGCCAAAAACGCCCAGACCCACTCAGTGATGTCTCTGACAGAGACGACGGGGTCTCCCGGTTGTTCCTGCCAGCTGATGTCACCAGGATGGCGGTGGATGCGGATCGGGCCGTCGGGAGCTCTAGCTTAAGCGGCTTGTCCGATCGCCATCTTGGACACGCCCCCCAACATGACCAAATCTAACTCCAAATCTCGCGAGGCTAGCAGTCATAGGTAGCACTGGTATATTTCCAGAAAAATTGAAGACAGAAGGAAAATCTTTTAGGGTAATGCTTAGAGACTATTAACATTTCTAGAGGTTTCCTGTGACCCAGCAGCTCTTACCTTTGTGAGTTTGGCTGCACCTTGGGATCATTAAACAGCCTTTAATGGTTGTTAAAATTAAAATAAGAGTGCAATCTACTGCAACTCAAATTTCAAAGCAGCGCTGTGATACAAAATTACCTGATTACAGGTAGACTCAAAAAACATGGTGGAAAAAAGTGATGAAATGTCCATACAAAAGTCCAAATACTGTGATATAGGAAAATCACCCCCAATTTTATCTTGGGATCATCGTGTGTAGAAATGAGACACCTCTACCTATAGGCTGGAACTCACCAAACTTCCATGCCTTTCATTTACATGATTGGTATGCAACATTTGTACTACTTCAATGGCCCGTGGGGTTCCAGGTACATTACTCCTCCATCATCTCTTGCTATCTCCAGCTCATTCACATATGTTTCCCCCGTTAATAACCAGCTCATATTGATGTGTACGATGTGTACAGAGAGCCCAACTTGTCACCCGCCTCCCTGTCCTTGCACCATCTTCTATAGTACATAACCTCACACCTCCTCCAGCCAGACATAAAGTAAATGTTTCAGGGCACTGCTTAGAGACAATGAACATTTCTAGATGTTTCCTGTAACCTAGCAAGTCTTAACTTTTTGCACTTGGCTACACTTTACGACCATCAAACAGGCCTTAATGGTGATTACTTTTCATTTGCAAAGCTATGCAATATTGATACAATTTTGTGTTAACACTTAGAACAAGCAGAACATAAGTGGTTTAGTATCAAGCTGCAGTGTGCTAATTAATGTACTGCAAACCCTATACTCTATACTAGGTGCCCACTACAGGATTCATAGGGGATCTGAACATTGCAACTGCTTGGTAATTAGTTTTCTTTTAGATTTTATACAGACTGTACATTTCTGGTGGTAACTGTGCTTTGTGCAACCATCAGAACATACAACCTATCAAGTAAACCAGGCATACTGAGAAGTTCTAATAAAGTCTGGATGGCCTTACTGAATGCTCTCATGGATTTACACCAAGCTGTAAAAGTATAAACCAGTTGTAGAAATTTATCAGCCCTTTGTACATTTTCACATCTTTTTATAAGGACAGTATTAGACTTTATACTTTGTTATAAATACCTGCTATGATTTTCCAGTGTATTGCTCTTTAGCTTCTAACTGAATAGAGAAATACTACAATCTACTTTAATGAATGTTCTTGTGCTGTAATGCCCAAGCTGCACAGGCAACACAGTGTTCATTTCAATTCCTCAGCTATCTCTATATTCTCAGAATTTTTATATAAGCACAATATCGTACTTTATACATACTATGATTTCCTCCTGTATTGCTCTTTATAGCTAAATATAGAAATACTACAACATACCATTTTAATAAAACCACACAATCCCCAACTCCCGAACACCATGAAAGTGTCACTTTATGTTGTGGAATAGCATTTATATTGATAACAAACATGGGATTTTGTTGCCTTGGTATTACTTATTATGCGCTACAATTTATTTTAGCGCAGAGATACCCAGGTTCCATCTGCTTGAATCTTTCACCTACTATCTCGAATTCCAGCAGTCAAAAGGTAAGGACTATATTAAACTAAACTATCATCAATTCTGGATTTCCGAGCTATAACTCAAAGCAAATGTATGATCATGGAGGAAAAATTGCTGTTCTTGTAAAAAACTATTGCAGCCTGAATTTACAGCAGATTTCCCAAGCAGTCTTCTCCCTTTCATCTGTAGATCATCATACAGTGTGAGCATCCTGTGTGTAATAAATAAACAGTCAGAGATAGGGGCTAGGAGGCGTATAGACACTGCTGCATCTGGCTGCCAGCCACTACAAAGTCTCGGCATACACGCTAAAGCTGCCTTTGATTTTGTTAATGGAAACTGTATTAAAACTCGAGTATGTGAGTACAAAAAGTAACTACAAAGAACAATGAATCCTGCTTGCCTGTGAAGTTTTAATCCTAAAGGATGCAAAACATTATTATACAAGACAGTCTGTTTGTAGTGTTTTTTTCTTTTTTTTTCTTTTTTTTTTGTTTAAGTGAACATTATATTTGTGTTGGAGGGGGCTAAGGAAAATACTGCCAAGCTGTCCTAAATTCTCTTAAGTGGATCGGACTTACAGAATTATTTTACAGAGGAAGTGTTTGAAAACCTGGCTCCCTAAGGAACAGAGAGGAATCAGTTAGCTATCATTGGCAGCTAGGTGATTCTCTGGAACAAAGACTGACAGAGAATCTTAATAGACTTGTTTCTGTATATCCTAGTCCAATGATGAAGCACTCCGTTGTACTGTGGTGTTCATTCTAAACGTACGTTTAAATCCAGTTTTAGCTCAGGAAGGGAGGGTGTATGGATGGAAAAAATGACTCTTTTCCTATATTTCCCCCAGGAATGGTTTGAAAAAAGCAGATCAAATGCATAAACATCTGATAAATTAATTAAACCTCCAGCCTAATTAAAAATGTCCTTTTTTTCTTTTTGGAGTTTTGATTAGCGTGGGAAAGAGTTAAAATTTCTGTTAGGATTTTATTTCTGTTTGTGACACCAATGCAAAGGTTTGCCACACTTCTTGTTCCTGTAATGCTAGTTTAAAACCACTTGCCTACTGGGCACTTCTACCCCCATCCTGCCCAGGCCAATTTTCAGCTTTCGGCGCTGTGGCACTTTGAATGACAATTGAGCGGTCATGCAACACTGTACCCGTATGACATTTTTATAATTTTTTTCACACAAATAGAGCGTTCTTTTGGTGGTATTTACTTGCTGCTGGGTGTTTTATTTTTTGTGCTATAAACAAAAGAAAAGCAAAAAATTTGGAAAAAAAAAGTTTTTCTTTGTTTCTATTATAAAATTTGGCAAACAGCTAATTTTTCTCCTTCACTGATGTGTGTTGATGAGGCTGCACTGATAGACAACACTGATGGGCACTGATAGGCAGCACTGATGGGCACTGATAGGTGGCACTGATGGGCACTGATAGGCGGCACTGATTGGCGGTACTGCTGGGCACTGACTGGCGGCACTGCTGGGCACTAATTGGTGACACTGACTGATGGCACTGACTGGTGACACTGCTGGGCACTGAATGGCGGCACTGTTGGGCACTGCTGGGTGGCACTGCTGGGCGGCACTGATGTATGGTACTTCTGGGCTGCACTGATAGGCACAGGTGGATGGCACTAGTGGGCACTGCTGGGCACAGCTGGGTGGCACTGCTGGGCACTTGTGGGTGGAACTGGTGGGTGGCACTGCTGGGCACTGATCATCAAGGCACTGATCATCAGTGCCCTGGTGATCAGTGCCGATCCCCCCTCTGACAACTGATGGTTCTCAGCAGTACTTTCCTCGCGCTGTAACAGTGTGAGGAAAGTGCAGCCGATAGCTGGCAATTGCATTTCCCGGTGATCACTGTGTTATTGGACACCGCTGTGATTGGCCTTTTACCATACCATGTGATCAGCTGTGTCCGTAGGACACAGCGATCACAGAGATCGCCGGGTGCGTGCCCCAGAACTGGCTGGTCGCAGTGAAGCCATCATTCGGTTATCTGCGTTCGGCAAGAGGTTAATAAGTAGGGGTGTGGTTGTCACCAGGGACAGCAAAGTACAAACAGCGATAACAACATACCCAAAAGTACTAACCCTTTCCCACTCTGTTACAATGTGTTTTGTCTTTACCCCCCTTGAAGAGAACACTTATCCCTTCCTGGAAAAAATTTGTGTAAGCGCATATGTGGAGGTGGGCTCAAAATTTGGGAGGAGGGGCAGGTTTTAAGTGGTTGGGTGTAACTTTAAATTTTGACATTTTATTTCTTTTGCTAAAACGTTATTTATATCATAGGACACAAATTCCTTTATGTGATATAATAATTTTAGGATAGGTTCACAGTGGGGTTGCTGCCCTATCAGCCTGTCCGGTTGAATAGAACATGGAACAGAGTTTAGAACACAAACTTTTTGTTGTCTCAGAATCTTAAGTTCTGTTCTGAGCCTTGAATAGGGATAAGCTTAAGGATTGGACCAAACATTGGCTGTTTGGGTATTCGGACCATCTTTTACCCAATTGGCAGGTGCCGAACATCATGTATGAAAATAAGGGGGACGCCACACAAAACAAATAGTGGCACGTGGTCCCTCCAAATTAAGGGAGAACCACAGACAAAAATTTTAAAAAAAGGTATAGGGTCACCCCAAAAATTACTAGACTACCAACCCCACCTGGCAAAGCATCTTGTCCTCCTGTGGATAGGGACAAAGGTCTCTTCCCCACAACCATGGACCACTATGTAAATGATTAGGGGGTACTTAGTACCCCTACTCATTCACCAAAAAATGTAAGCAGCAAACAATATACACACTTTTTAAAAGTCTAAATCCCCTAGAAGACTTTTAAACATTTAGAAAATGTCCCACGATGCATATCTACCATCAATCATGTTGTCCAGAGATGTAGGTCCATGTTAATCATGATGCCCAATACCTGCGGACCAGCAAAAAGAAAAAAGTCTGCCAACACATAATTATCCCAATGACTGTTTATTCGCTTTTGGCACCTCCAGCGGATGACATCACTAGTCATTGATGTCACTAGAATCAGATTTTTGGGGGGAACCCTATGATTTTTTTTTTTGGAATTTTTGCGTGAAGTTCCCCAAAGGATCTGGTATGGAGTTTGGGCCCCCTAAAATTCATACGAGACTTGAAGGGCCTAATATGAATTATGGGAGAACCCCCTCACCATTTTTTTGTACACTCTCATCTAGGATGGGGATCTGGTATAGAAGAACGGAGCACCATTTGCTTTGTTTGCCGAGAGCTGTCATTTTGTACACTTTTTTCTTTGTAAATGTCCGTTTTGCTGTAATAAGTTGTATACATTGTACACACATGCCACTTCACAGGCAAGGTCAGGAGTGTTTATTTAATGACTTTTGCATTTTTAATGTTTCACTTCAGGCACTACTAAAATCACTAAGCAAAATGGTAGTGTGACAAGAACACCCCTACCTGGAAAAAGAAGGTTATTAGGTGATCCACGCGGCGTAATATGAATTCAAAAATATTCCAAACAATTCTTTATTTGATCACATAGATCATAAGGAGGTTAAACATGAGCATGGTGTACAAATGAAAAAAATAAAATCATGTTAAAAAGCACTAGGCGTCTTCAGTTTAGGGTCATCTTAGCAAATAGAGTACCACAAGGCAGAGTTATAAAGTGGTGATATAGTTATCCTGGGTTTCCATGGGTTTTCGGCTTGTATTCGAGTAAACCATGTATGCAGCAAATGTGTTCCCAATGTATGTCAGGTATCTCCTGATGTGAAAAAAGCTGGAATACAAAAATATATAGTATATATATGGAAATATGAAAACCAAAAAACCATATCACATCCAATATTCACCAGGCCTCCCTCTACAATGGTCAGTGGATACTACTATTACCTTCTCAAAGGTGAGGTTAACAGGCCAGCTTCTCAGGTGTAGGGACTTCCTGGATAGCCACCCCAAGTAAAATAAAGTCCACAGTGCTAAATGATTCTGAGGATATATATAGAAAAATAGTGAACAATGTAAAAATCATGGGCATCAGGTCACCCTGAAAATAAAACACACACAGAGTGGGTATATTACCATCAATGAAGATCAAGAAGACATCTGTCGACTTGAAATAGGATCAGGTCCTTGATGCTTTTCCAAGATGCATATGGGGGTGAGGAGCCAGGTAGTCGCAATACATAGATTCCAAACACATATACTGTGTATATAGCATATAGCAGGCTATGCGGGCCTGAATTTTAATACCCAATAAAGGGTTTCCAAAAATTGCTCACAATGAGAAGATTATTATTCCATATACTGTGTATATAGCATATAGCAGGCTTTGCAAACCTGAATTTTTATACCCAATGAAGGGTTTCCAAAAATTACTCAAAATGAGAAGGTTATTGCGGTTTCATGAGGATATGGCTATGTCACAGCACAACCCCTAGATAGGATAGCGTATATATATATATATATGTAGATCGTCCTCCAAAGAGGATTTGCAAAGATTCCCCGAATATACAGGATAATTTAGGCCCAAATAACATGCCCTTATTGACACCATAAAAGCTCTATCAATCTCAACAGCCGTAAGCTAAATTAACTTGCCACCGGTGGAAGATAAATTTCCCTGAAAGATAGCCGTTTGCGAGCCGCTGCAGAAATAGCCTTATGGTAGTTTTCAGAGGGTCAGGGGCCTTCCTAGCAGGGAGCTGTGACACCGCCGTTCCTTCCCGCCTCGTGGGCGCCGCACCCAGTGAAGACGCCGAGCGTAGTGACGTCAATACGTTGACGCGTTTCGTCCGCCAATCACCGCAGACTTCGTCAGAACTGGGAGGGGACTTCAATACTTCGCCTTATATGGTGCTCTAATTGCATACCAAAGAGTCTCCACCTCGCCATCTTGTGTTGAAAGAGTATCACTACATTGGAATAATCCAAAGTGAATTAAAAACACATATATTGAATTTAAAATGGTTGCTGGATATAGAAGAAAGGAGCCTAAATATTATTATAAATCCGATCCTCTTCAAAGAAAAATTAAATTAAAGATAAAGAGGAAATCTAAATTAGCACAATACTTGTTCTAGTGGGGAAGACATCAAGACCAGGGTGCGGCGCCCACGAGGCGGGAAGGAACGGCGGTGTCACAGCTCCCTGCTAGGAAGGCCCCTGACCCTCTGAAAACTACCATAAGGCTATTTCTGCAGCGGCTCGCAAACGGCTATCTTTCAGGGAAATTTATCTTCCACCGGTGGCAAGTTAATTTAGCTTACGGCTGTTGAGATTGATAGAGCTTTTATGGTGTCAATAAGGGCATGTTATTTGGGCCTAAATTACCCTGTATATTCGGGGAATCTTTGCAAATCCTCTTTGGAGGACGATCTACATATATATATATATATATACGCTATCCTATCTAGGGGTTGTGCTGTGACATAGCCATATCCTCATGAAACCGCAATAACCTTCTCATTTTGAGTAATTTTTGGAAACCCTTCATTGGGTATAAAAATTTCAGGTTTGCAAAGCCTGATATATGCTATATACACAGTATATGGAATAATAATCTTCTCATTGTGAGCAATTTTTGGAAACCCTTTATTGGGTATTAGAATTCAGGCCCGCATAGCCTGCTATATGCTATATACACAGTATATGTGTTTGGAATCTATGTATTGCGACTACCTGGCTCCTCACCCCCATATGCATCTTGGAAAAGCATCAAGGACCTGATCCTATTTCAAGTCGACAGATGTCTTCTTGATCTTCATTGATGGTAATATACCCACTCTGTGTGTGTTTTATTTTCAGGGTGACCTGATGCCCATGATTTTTACATTGTTCACTATTTTTCTATATATATCCTCAGAATCAATCATTTAGCACTGTGGACTTTATTTTACTTGGGGTGGCTATCCAGGAAGTCCCTACACCTGAGAAGCTGGCCTGTTAACCTCACCTTTGAGAAGGTAATAGTAGTATCCACTGACCATTGTAGAGGGAGGCCTGGTGAATATTGGATGTGATATGGTTTTTTGGTTTTCATATTTCCATATATATACTATATATTTTTGTATTCCAGCTTTTTTCACATCAGGAGATACCTGACATACATTGGGAACACATTTGCTGCATACATGGTTTACTCGAATACAAGCCGAAAACCCATGGAAACCCAGGATAACTATATCACCACTTTATAACTCTGCCTTGTGGTACTCTATTTGCTAAGATGACCCTAAACTGAAGACGCCTAGTGCTTTTTAACATGATTTTATTTTTTTCATTTGTACACCATGCTCATGTTTAACCTCCTTATGATCTATGTGATCAAATAAAGAATTGTTTGGAATATTTTTGAATTCATATTACTCCGCGTGGATCACCTAATAACCTTCTTTTTCCAGGTAGGGGTGTTCTTGTCACACTACCATTTTGCTTAGTATGTACCTTTTGGGTTTATGGATCCACACTTATACAAGTGAGTCGGAGATAAGTTAATGACATTAGTTATACGTGTCATTATTGGGTGGCTTGTTTTGTGCTTTATTGTTGTGACTACTAAAATCACTGCTCCCCACTGAACAAAATTGAAAAAAAAAAATGTTTTGCTTTGGTACATATCCCCCTGGGCAGTGTCCAGCTCTGTGTCAAATCCTCCTGCGCATGATTGTGGGGAACCCGGGACTGTTTTCCTATGTTAGTGTTAGAAAACAAAACTAGTGGATATGATTGGCCTTTCTGCTCTCTCAAATGACTAGATTAGTCCCAAT